GAGTGTTGCCCTCGTGTCACCTTCCATTCGCAGACCTGACACGCTTAGATTTTCACTTCTACTTGAACGGCAGAACGGCAGAGAGAAGCGAAGGCCGGGAGCCAGGAATTCCAACAGGGTCTCCCCGGGGACGGCAGGCATCCAACAAGCTGGGCATCCTCCGCCACCTCCCCAGCACGCTGCAAGTGGACACACGGCGCAATCCCAGGTAACCCCTGTCCCACAGACGCGCACGCACCATGTCGCTGCACAAGGCATGCGTCTCCACAGGGGACAGTGGGATGCACAGATTAGCAGCAGGAAAGCACGCTGAGCCAAGAGGACCTCTTTCTGTTTGTTGTTTTGCCATCACTTTTTGATTTGGCGGTGACAGTGATGCACTGAAACCACAGGGCGGATTTTGACTCAAGATCCAGTGGACTTCCTGTTTTCCTTCTTGGAGGTGGGGGGGCGGGTACTACAGTGTTTTACACAAAGTAATGAGTACAGCCCCTACATTTAGGAAATAGAAACATGTACTAATATCAGCTGCATGAAGAAGGCGTCGCTGTCCAGGTGCACCCAGGGACTGAAGTAGGCGCTGAGGTGGGGCTGGAGGCAGGAAGCCCACAACCCACGGAGAGCGGAATGCAGGCCTGAGCCCATGTCGGGGCTCTGCACTGGGGCAGTGGGCAGGAGACAGTGCACATGGGCCAGCAGTGTGGCAGCATCAGGACATGCTCCTCAGCCCATCCTCGCCGTGGCCAGCTGCGGCCCAAGCACGGCCAGCTGCCAGGCGGCCTTACAGCGCAGAAATCTTGGTGCAGCAGGCACTGTGCTGAGTGACACCGGTCAGGTGCAAGGGGACCAATGCCTTATTTGAAGGACAGACATCTGTCGCTGGATCACTCCCCAGCAGCCTGCGACAGCTGGGTGGAACCAAGCTGCAGCCAAGAGCCCGGGACTGCACCCTGGGCCTCCACCCTGGGCCTCCCATGTGAGCATCAGCAAAAAAATCGCCGAGGGTCTCCCCCGGGACGTGGGGGTCCCAGCAGGGTTTCAGAGTCCCAAGATGGCACTGCTTGTACTGATGGACCTGTCCACTCAACATGCTTACAGTCACCATTAAAAAACTACTTGAAGGGCCCGGCGTGGTGATGCACTGGTTAAGGTCCTTGCCTTGCACGCCCGGGATCCCACACGGGCGCCGGTTCTATCCCGGCAGCCGCGCTTCCCTTCCAGCTCCCTGCTTGTGGCCTGGGAAAGCAGTCGAGGACGGCCCAAAGCTTTGGGACCCTGCACCTGCGTGGGAGACCCAGAAGAGGCTCCTGGCTTCGGACCGGCATAGCATCGGCCGTTGTGCTCACTTAGGGAGTGAATCATCGGGTGGAAGATCTTCCTCTCTGTCTCTCCTCTCTGTATATCTGCCTTTTCAATAAAAAAATAATAAAAATAAATCTTTGAAAAAAAAAAAAAACTACTTGAAAGAGAGAGAGAGGAAGAGACAGAGATCCTCCATCTGCTATTTCATTCCCTAAATTGATGCAATGGCCACGGTTTGGTCCAAGCCGAACTCAGGGACCAGGAGCTCCCCCAGCCCCCAGCCGGGTGGTGGCAGGGAGTGAAGCACCTGAGCCACCTTCAGGGGCTTTCCAAGGCTGTTAGCAGGGAGCTGGGGCACAAGCAGAACAGCTTGGACTTGAACCAGCACTCACAGGCAATGAAAGCATCCAGGTAGTAACTCGGCACTGCAGCATGGCCCACAGAGCAAACTGTGTGCTGTGTGTATTTACCACAGCTTCTAGTTTAAGATTTATTTTTATTGGAAAGGCAGATACACAGAGAGGAGAAACAGACAGATCTTCCATCTGCTGGTTCACTTCTCAAGTGGCTGCAACAGCCAGAGCTGAGCCAATCTGAAGCCAGGAGCCTCTTCCAGGTCTCCCACACAGGTGCAGGGTGCCAAGGCTTTGTGCCGTCCTCCACTGCTTTCCCAGGCCACAGGCAGGGAGCTGGATGGGAAGTGGAACAGCTGGGACATGAACTGGCACCAATTTGAATCCCAGTGCTTGCAAAGTAAGGATCTAGCCATCAATCCTTCACACCAGGCCCTTACCACATCTTGAAAAATAATAACTGTGGGGTGGGCGGCATGGTATACAAGGCTAAGCCTTTGCCTATGGTGCTGGCATCACACTTGGGTGCCAGTTCAAGTTGCAGGTGCTCCACTTCCGATCCAACCTCCTGCTTATAGCCTGGAAGAGCAGCAGAGGATGGTCCAAAAGCCTTGGGATCCTGCACTGTGTAGAGACAAAGAAGCAGCTCCCAGCTGTGAACCGGCCCAGCTCCAGCCACTGTGACAATTCAATTTGGGGAGTGAATCAGTGGTTGAAAGATCTCTCTCTCTCCTTCTCTTTGTAAAAATATGCCTTTTCCAATAAAAAATAAATTAAGAAGAAAAAAAAAACTTAGGGTCCAGCGTGATAGCATAGTGGTCAAAGTCCTCACCTTGAAAGTGCCAGGATCCCGATCCCATATGGGTGTTAGTTCTATCCTGGCAGCCCCGCTTCCCATCCAGCTCCCTGCTTGTGGCCTGGGAAAGCTTCCTCCTCCAACCCCTCCCACAGGTCGGGGGGAGAGTGCCAGGAACAGCCATTTACTCCAAGCAACAGCTGTGCTTCCCAGATTGGCCCAGCGGCTGTGGGACAGTCACCTGCGGCGGGCCATGCCCCTACAACAGGCGGAAGGCCATGCAGAGCGGGGCACCCCACACACATGGGAGGGACACCGACCCCACCCTACAGCTGACGCTGACCTCTGACCCCTGCCACGTGACAGTCCGGCTGCCTCGGAATCACAGTGTGGAACTGGCAGGGCACAGGCTGCACAGCAATTGGCCAGAACTGCTGGGGCAGTCCTGCGAGGCATGGGCTGTGTGCCTCCCAGGTAACTCAGATGAGAGCCTGTGCCATAGCCTTGCATGAGCCAGCACTGTGGTACAGTGGGCTAGGTTGCCACCTGTGGTGCCAGCTTCCCTACGAACAGTGGTTGAAGACCCAGTGGATCAACTTATGATCTACTTCTTGGCCTTCCAGGTACCTAGGAAGGCAGGGACTTTGCAATAAAAATAAATAAATCTTTTTTTCTTTAACATTTATTTATTTTGGGGCCTGGTGTGATAGCGTAGTGCTTAGTCCTCCCCTTGCATATGCCGGGATCCCATATGGATGCTGGTTCTAATCCCGGCAGCTCTACTTCCCATCCAGCTCCCTGCTTGTGGCCTAGGAAAGCAGTTGAGGATGACTCACAGCCTTGGGACCCTGCACCTGTGTGGGAGACTCAGAAGAGCTTCTGGCTCCCAGCTTCGGATCGGCACATTACCAGCCATTGTGGTCACTTGGGGAGTGAACCATCGGAAGGAAGATCTTCCTGTCTCTCCTCCTGTCTATATACATATTTGACTTTACAATGAAAAATAAATAAATCTTTAAAAAATATATTTTAGGGCCCGGTGCGGTGGCGCAAGTGGTTAAAGGTCCTCACCTTGCACGCCCAGGATCCCATATGGGCGCCGGTTCTAATCCCGGCAGCCCCGCTTCCCTTCCAGCTCCCTGCCTGTGGCCCGGGAAAGCAGTCGAGGACGGCCCAAAGCTTTGGGAACCTGCACCCACGTGGGAGACCCAGAAGAGGCTCCTGGCTTCGGACCAGCATAGTATCGGCCCGTTGTGCTCACTTGGGGAGTGAATCATCGGACGGAAGATCTTCCTCTCTGTCTCTCCTCTCTGTATATCCACCTTTCCAATGAAAAAATAATAAAAATAAATCTTTAAAAAAAAATAAAAATAAAAAATATATTTTAAAACAGAAAGTGATCAGGATGGCCTATTTCATGTTGCACATATTTTCTTACTACTGTCTTTCTGGCGCCAGCTAGGGCACGGGGCCTGGGAGCCAGGGCAGGTGTCCCAGGAGCTGTTCCTCCTCCTAGACAGGCTGCTCTGCTGGCGGCAGCCAGTTGGCCTCCAGGCAAGCTGAGGATGGGGCACCCTGCGTCAAACCATGGCAGAGCGAGGGCGGCAGGGGTGAGGAGAGCGTGGCCGCAGCCAAGGACACAGTAAGCCCAGGGAGGCCCTGGGGAGCCCAGGTGCTCTGGCCGAAGATGTGCGGCTTGCGGCGAGACAAATGCAGCTACTACTTTGCTCCGGAAATGGGCGAGGCCAGAAGCTCCGCCAGGTCTCCCCAGGGACCACAGGGCCCAGGACTGGCATCGTCACCTTATTCCTCCCGGGGTACACAGCAGGAAACTGGATTGGACATGGAGGTGGGACTCGAGCCAACACATAGTCACGGCACGTGGCTGAGCCCAGCGAGGGCTTCAACTGCAGCACCAGTTCCTGTCCCTGCTTGCACACAGGCTCACAGAACTGAGTCCCTTGCCCGGTGAGGACCTCCCTACGAGATGGCACCTGAAGAGAAGGGGGCCCGAGCCCAGAGCGCCGAGCTGCGCAGACCAAGACCGCGTCAGGCCACTTCACTGACCTCCACAACTCCCAGGCAGCCTGAACCAAGATGGCCACCCTTCCCCACCACCACTGGGGCACACAACCACCCAGGGGCAGGGGCAAACACAGACCATCCCACCCCTGGGCCTGTCACCACACAGGAGCCCATGCTGACTTGGCTAGGTCACCTGGGGTCACCCTTACCTCAAGGCTCGCTCTGGCCCTGGCATCTATGGATCTGGACACACGTGTGATGCCACTCTGGCCTGCCTGTCCAGCCCCCTGCACCCGCTGGGAGACACGGAGGACGCTCCGGTGAGTCACATCAGGACAGTGCACTCCGGCACGGGTAGCACTGCGGCCAGCCTTCACATGCCCATCAAGGGAGCCCAATCCTGCCGCGCAAGGTTTATTAGCATTTGTATATTCTGATCTGATAGAATTCCAAGCCAAACTGGGCACATGGTGCTTGGCTCCATCAGCACCAGGAAAGTGGCGGGGGCCACAGCCAGGAGGAGCCAGGCACGGGGGACACTCACAGCTCCAGAGTCCACCATGCCCGCCCAGCAAGCGGGCACCAGGGCCAGGCGGGCAGCTAAGTGCTCCTGGGCCTCCGTCTGAGCGTGTTCCGGGGCCAGGCGGTCAGGCGGGCAGCTAAGTGCTCCTGGGCCTCCGTCTGAGCGTGTTCCAGAGCCTCTCCAGGGCCACTCTCGCCATGCAGAAGGTAATGGTGAGATTGCGCCTGTACCAGCCTCTAGGGAGAAAGAACAGCACTGAGACCAGGCCAGGACACGCAGCTCCCCCCGCCGGCCTCACTGAGGCAAGCATCAGAGGCACCCTCCTGCCTCAGGCTGCCTGCTGCAAGTCCCACAGGCGGGGCACTTCCTGTGTACGCCTGGTCCGTGTTCACAGTCCTCCAAGGCGAGAAGCTAGCTTGGTTCCCTCCTCCATAGACCTGCACCTCGGGAAGGACCCAGGCCCGGCGAGCTCTACACTGCACAGGGCTCACCGGCTCTCTACAGGAAAGGCCCAGGCCAGCCAATTCAGCCGCCTGTGCAGCCCAGCCGGGGAAGGTTCCCGCCTTGTCCTCTGGGAAGACAGGGCAGCCCAAACGCCAAGTGTCGGGGCTCCAGATTACACCCAGGGCCCGTGAACCTCACATGGCCAGGCCCAGGGAACAGGCTGGAAGGAACGCCCCACACACACACCTGCCAGCAATGAGCACACCAGGTGTGTGTTTCCCTCCAGTCAGCCGGACGAGCTGGCCTGACGGCATGGGGGGAAAGCAGACTTCCCACTTCCAGGGCAAGCGGGGGCAGGAGGTCGTGGGGAAGAAAGGTGGCCGGACTCTGCTGGCTCATCTAGAGCGAGCACCGGTCAGCAAACAGCCGGCCTGCGTGGGTCACACTCCAAGGAAGCTTGGGGAGGTGCACCAGGTGCCTGATCGGAACCCAGCCACTTCACAATGGCAACAGCCTCAGGTACAAACCAGGGGCAGCGGCTGAGCTGCCAGCCAGGATGCCCACCTCACGCCAGTGCCCGGGGGCAGTCCCCCCGGCACGCCCGCCTCTCACGCTGGTGCCTCAAGGCAGGGCCAGCTTGTTTGCCTCTGACCCAGCCATAGCAGTGCACAGCCAGCATGCACGTGGGAGACCTGGGTGGGCACCTGGCACCCGGCCTTGACCTGACCCAGTCTCAGATGTCACAGACCTTTGCAGGGTGAAGCAACAGATGGTCTTTCTCTGTCTGCCGTTCAAATAAAATTCAAACATTTTGAGAACTGCAAAATTCAAGTGTTTCAGGGACAATCTTTAATTAGACTTTCCCTCTCCTGAGCTTTTTTTGGTAAGATTTACCTTATTTGAGGGAAAAACAGAAAGAGAGAAAGATCTTCTACCTAGTGTTTCACTCTCCAAATGGCTGAAATGGGGTGAGAGCATCCTGAAGCCGGGAGTATCTTCTAGGTCCCCTGCGTGTATGCGTCCTCTGCCGCTGTCACAGGGGCCGGGCGGGAAGTAGAGCAGCGGGGACATGAAATGACGCCTGCACGAGATGCTGGGACTGTGCCCTCCCTCCCCTTCAGCATGTTACCTGAAAGCCACAGTGACCGACAAGAGAAACAGATTTGCCACCTGCTGGTTCAAGTCCCAAAGTCTGAAACAGCCAGGGCAAGGCCCGCTGGGGTCAGGAGCCAAGAATGTGGGTCACTGTGCCCTGTCCTCTGGGGCACAGCAGCTGAGACCCGAATCAGCGCTCGGCAGAGGAAGCCCAGCACAGGGGCCGAGGCTGCAGCACCACGATCCTAGTCCCATCACTGCTAGATTTTAAAGCAAACTCCAAACTTGATTTCTTAGCATTTCACCTATAAATCTGAAGACTTCATAAAGTTCATGAAAAATGAGAGAACTAGGCATGCATTTAAAAATTGAAATTCCTGGCTCCTAACTTCAGCACCTCTGAGCCAACAGCCCAGCTTCAGTTTATTTGCACCAAAATAAATGTCTTTAAAATTCATTTCCCACAAACTTTTTGAGTCTCCTTGTACAGAACACATCATGTATGTGTAGCCAGCCTAAAAGCTCCCAAGGGGCAGCATGGTGGCAGCACGGGCAAAGCCAGCACTGCAGAAGGCTCTGCTGAGAGCTCGGCTGCTCCACTTCTGACCTGGCTCCTTCTGAAAGCGGCACAGCATGGTCCAAGTCCTTGCGCCCCTGCACCCATTTGGGGGACCCAGAGAAAACTTCTGGCTCCTGGCTTCAGTCTGGCCCTGCTCTGGCCACTGCCGCCACTTGGGCAGCGAACCAGCAGCCTTCATCTCTCTCCTTTGTAGCTGTATCTTTCAAACGCATTGTGGGAAAGGGCGTCAAAAGAAGCTGCGAGCGCAGCACCTGCTGACACTGCGATGGATCCAAGGACGCTGTGCACACGCACTTTGTCTGAGCTGGGACCAGGCAAGGCGGGGGCGGCATGGCGTCTCCCTCCTCCCTCAGCAGCCGCCGCAAGCCTCGCCACTGCAGTCCCCTTTGGTCTGGCAGCCAGTACCTTGAGGTTGTGCGTGGTGTTGACCTGGTGGCTGACAGGGCTGGCGCCCTCTGGTGGGAAGGGGTAGACGGCCCCGTGTCAGCAGCTGTGGGTGTTTCTGCCCAGATGCAGCACTCCATTAGGAAAGGGGTGACCTGCTAGGGCGCTCATTGTCCTGCGCCCGCCTGCTCTGCGCTCGGGGTCCCAGGAGGGAGCTGTGTACTTGCTGGCACCACCAGCCCAGCCAGAGGCAACCCATGAGCCATCAGTGCCAACACCAAGCAAGCATGACTTGACTGGAGCCCGCAGTGGTCACTTACCTCTTACCATCCTGATGCCACTGCAGGGATCTGTGGGCGCCCTGCTCCCGGCCTTGCCCACCCCAGACCCTGGCACCGCAGCTCAGGGCTGAGAACTGCAGGTGCCACACACGCGCTGCAGCTGTCAGGCTTATGTAACAATGCAAGACAAAGCAGAAGTCAGGCAACTTCTGCACAGACACAGAAACACAAGTCGTCCAACTCCGGCGTGCCAGCAACCCCGAGCAATCTGCACCAACTTCAGGGGAAGGCACACACCTGTTATAGTCCATGTGCCTCTGGAAATTCTTACTAAGAAACTCCTTGTAAAAATCGGCCATTTCCTCTGCATTCAGTGTTGCTTTCTGACCTGAAAGTTAACACAAACACTAAACATTAATGGGAAAGTGTGGGAGACGACAGCCCAGAGCCTGGGACCCCACACCTATGTAGGAGACCCAAAGCTCCTGGCTCCTAGCATCGGATCAGTTCAGCTCCAGCCACTGCAGCCACTTGGGGAGTGAACCAGCAGACGGAGGGTCATTCTGTATTTCCTTCTCTCCGTAAATCTGCCTTTCCAATAAATAAATAAATCTTTAAAAACAATTAAGGGGAAGGGTAAACAGAAAGATGACTTACAGAAGGCTTACAGAATCCAGACCGGGGCCCGGAGCAATAGCATAATGGTTAAGGTCCTCGCCTTGCATACGCCATATGGTTGCTGCTGGTTCTAATCCCGGCAGCTCCACTTCCCATCCAGCTCCCTGCTTGTGGCCTGGGAAAGCAGTGGAAGACGGCCCAAGACCTTGGGACTCTGCACCCGCCTGGGAGACCCGGAAGAGCTCCTGACTCCTGGCTTCAGATCAGCGCAGCACCGGCCATTGCAGTCACTTGGGGAGTGAACTATCGATGGGAGATCTTCCTCTCTGTCTCTCTTCCTCTCTGTACATCTGCCTTTCCAATAAAATAAATAAATCTTAAAAAAAAGAAGATGTATTTATTTATTTGAAAAACAGAGTTACAGAGAGAGGGAAAGAAGCAGAGAGGTGGCCGCTGCTGGCTTCTCCCGTCTGCAGTCACAGCTGAGCGGGACAGAAGCCCACAGCCAGGAGCTGCTTCCGGCTCTCCCACGTGGGTGCAAGGGCCCAAGCACTTAGGCCATTCTCCACTGCTTTCCCAGGCCATTAGCAGGAAGCTGGATTGGAAGTGGAGCAGCCGGGACATGAACTGGCACCTGTACGCGATGCTGGTGTTACTGGCAGTGCCACCATGCCAGCCCCAGCACCGCCATCTTGGCAGTGGAGGTGGCTCAGATCAGCTCTTTCTTCACTAAGGTCTTTTTTTGTTCCTTTCCTGAGTTGTACAGTTTCTTGCAAACCTTGTATATCCTCTCTTAAATTTATTACTGATGCCGTTCTTGACGCTCCAGTTAATAGAATTAGACTTTTTTAAGATTTACTTATTTGTTTGAAAGGCAGTGTCAGAGGGAGAGACAGACAGTTGTCTGCCATCTGCCAACTGCCCACGTGCTAGAATAGCCAGGGCCAGAGCAGGCGCCAGCGAGGAGCAGGGCGTGAGCGTGGCTGTCCGCTGGGGTGTTGGACTGCAGGCCTCAGCTACTCGTCCTTTGCCTCCCAGGACTCACGCCATCAGGGAGCGGAGTGGAGGCACAAGGGGGCCAGGGCTTGGACTGGGCCCCTCCTATGGCCTTCAGGTGTCAGCTGCCATACCACAGCGCCTGGTCCAGCACTGTTCAGTTCGTTTCCAGAATGTTCATCGCTGTGAATAGAATTGTAGCTGGTTGTAGCACCAGTCTGGATTCTTTTTTTTTTTTTTAGATTTATTTATTTTTATTGGAAAGTCAGATATACAAGGAGAAGGAGAGACAGAGAGGAAGATCTTCCATCTGATGGTTCGCTCCCCAAGAGGCCACAACAGCTGGAGTTGAGCCAATCCAAAGCCAGGAGCCAGGAACTACCTCCAGGTCTCCCACGCTGGAGGGGGAGAGGCGGGGATGGGGGAGAGGAGGGGAAGGGGGAGAGGAGGGGATGGGGAGAGGAGGGGATGGGGAGAGGAGGGGATGGGGGAGAGGAGGGGAGGGGGAGAGGAGGGGATGGGGAAGAGGAGGGGATGGGGAGAGGAGGGGAGGGGGAGAGGAGGGGATGGGGAAAGGAGGGGATGGGGAGAGGAGGGAAAGGGGGAAAGGAAGAGATGGGGAGAGGAGGGGATGGGGAGAGGAGGGGATGGGGAGAGGAGGGGATGGGGAGAGGCGGGGATGGGGAGAGGAGGGGATGGGGAGAGGAGGGGAAGGGGGAGAGGAGGGGAAGGGGGAGAGGAGGGGATGGGGAGAGGAGGGGAGGGGGAGAGGAGGGGATGGGGAGAGGAGGGGAGGGGGAGAGGAGGGGATGGGGAGAGGAGGGGATGGGGAGAGGAGGGGATGGGGAGAGGAGGGGATGGGGAGAGGAGGGATGGGGAGAGGAGGGGAGGGGGAGAGGTGGGGAGGGGGAGAGGAGGGGAGGGGGAGAGGAGGGGATGGGGAGAGGAGGGGAGGGGGAGAGGAGGGGATGGGGGAGAGGAGGGGAGGGGGAAAGGAGGGGATGGGGAGAGGAGGGGATGGGGAGAGGAGGGGATGGGGAGAGGAGGGGATGGGGAGAGGAGGGGATGGGGAGAGGAGGGGATGGGGAAAGGAGGGGATGGGGAGAGGAGGGGATGGGGAGAGGAGGGGATGGGGAAAGGAGGGGATGGGGAGAGGAGGGGATGGGGAGAGGAGGGGATGGGGAGAGGGAGAGAGAAGGAGGGGTGCAGGTCCTGAACCTTTGGGCCTTCCTCTGCTGCTCCCCCAGGTCATGATGGTCCTCCCACCTGCGGCCTCACTGCCCAGAATGCCCGTCTGAGCCTTGCCCTCCACAGTCCCTCCTCCCATCTCCCACGTGGCGGCCCTACCCAAACAACCACAGAGAACAGACGCACTGACCAGACTCCGTTCTGGGTCCCAGGCCTTTGGCTTCAAGTCTCGAGCGGATAAACTCCTCTTTTTCCTGAAAGAAGAAAACTACCAGACTCAATGTCTGTCTTCCCGCCTCTCTGCCCGGAGAAGGCGGGCGGTACGCGTCCCAAGGCGTGGGGCGTCACAGCTGACCAGGACATGCAGGCGAGCAGGAGCGGGCACTGCGGCCTAGGGGGTAGAAGTGCCACTTGCTGCACCAAGATTCCACACGGGCACAGGGTCGTGTCCTGGCTGCTCCAATTCTGATCAAGCTCCCTGCCAGTGGCCTGGGAAAGCAGCAGAAGACGGGCCGAGGATTTGGTCCCATGTACCATGGGAAAGACCCGGAAGCAGCTCCCAGTTCCCAGCTTGGCCCGGCTGCTGCAGCCATCTGGGGAGTGAACCAGGGGACAGAAGACTTCTATTTCTCTACAACTAACTTCAAATTAAATTTTAATGGAAAGAAAACTAGAGGCACAGTAAACTTTTGGAGGCACTGTTAACAAATCTAGTGAATAAGATAAACACTGTCTTTCTGGGTTGCACTGTTTACACTTCTTTGTCATGCAGTTTATTTAGCAACATGCTGTCGAGTATGGAGGTTCACACACCATCCACAGGCACTTCCCTCGGAGCCAAGCTTCAAGTCCACACACACACACACACACACACACACACACACACACACACACACCCCATCACACACACACACCCCATCACACACACCCCATCACACACACACGCGCGCACACACATCCCACTACACACACACCCCCATCACACACACACACACCCCACCCCACCCCACTACACACACACACACACCCCCCATCACACACACCCCATCACACACACCCCATCACACACACACGCGCGCACACACATCCCACTACACACACACACCCCATCACACACACACACACACACACACACACATCACCCCCCCCACACACACACACACACACACACACGGGAGCGATTGATCTGCTAAGAGTGCAGAAGCTGGCGCCCCCAGGTGGCCAGCTGCATTCTCCCCCAGCTACCTTGGTAAAAGCCAGGTTCTGGTGCGCCCAGAACTGCTGGTTCCACTGTTGTGTTTCTCCTCTCAGTTCTCTGAGCTGCCGCTGCAGCGGCGACTCCTGCTCGGGGACGTGGAAGCAGACGGGCCGCAGATTGGAGTGCTTATCCGGGGGGCCTATCCAATCATGCCGAGACTGCGGAGGAGGACGGAATGCTGAGGCCTGCAACAGAAAGCAAACCCTCAAAACTCACAGGGCCGACTTCCCGAGGCGCACCCCTGCTCGTGGCTCCTCTGGAAGCGGAGCAGCTCCCAGGGCCGGGGAGTCCCAGATGCTCTGCCTCCACCCCTGCAACCCAGGGAAGGCAGCGAAGGCAGCCCAAGAGCCGGGCACCCAGCACCCCGGGAGAGCAGCTGGCCCGAAGCCCAGCCGGCGTAGGTATCAGCAGGTGGGAGAACCACGCATCCTCTCTCTCCCCTACCGCAGCTCTCCCCTCTCTAACTTTGACTTCATACACACAAATTAGCTTTAATAAAAAAGTAAGAAGAATTATATGTACTTCATTAAATGAAAATTGTTTGCCCACCCCAGCTCCACCAGCCAGGGAGAGAAGCAGCAATTGAAGGACCTCCTCCTATCTGTGTCTTTCAAATAAATATTTTAAAAGATGGGCCCGGAGCGATAGCGTAGTGGTTAGAGTCCTCGCTTTGCACACACCAGGATCCCATATGCTCGCCGGTTCTAATCCCAGTAGCCCTGCTTCCCATCCAGCTCCCTGCCTGTGGCCTGGGAAAGCAGTTGAGGACGATCCAAAGCCTTGGGACCCTGCACCCGCCTGGAGACCTGGAGGAAGTTCTGGCTCCTGGCTTCGGATCGGCTCAGCTCAGGCTGCTGCAGCCACTTGAGTGAATCAACAGACAGAAGACAATCCCGGGGTCTCGAGGGGGTCAGTCCCGGGGGCTCTCAGGGGGGTCAGTCCCCGGGGGCTCGAGGGGGGGACACTCCCGGGGGCTCTCAGGGGTCAGTCCCGGGGTCTCCAGGTGGTCAGTCCCGGGGTCTCGAGGGGGGTCAGTCCCGGGGTCTCGAGGGGGTCAGTCCCGGAGTCTCGAGGGGGTCAGTCCCGGAGTCTCGAGAGGGTCAGTCCTGGGGGCTCTCAGGGGGGTCAGTCCCGGGGGCTCGAGGGGGTCAGTCCCGGGGGCTCTCAGGGGTCACTCCCGGGGGCTCTCAGGGGTCAGTCCCGGGGTCTCGAGGGGGACACTCCCGGGGTCACTCCCGGGGGTCACTCCCGGGGTCTCAAGGCGGTCAGTCCCGGGGTCTCGAGGGGGTCAGTCCCGGGGTCTCGAGGGGGTCAGTCCCGGAGTCTCGAGGGGGTCAGTCCCGGAGTCTCGAGGGGGTCAGTCCTGGGGGCTCTCAGGGGGGTCAGTCCCGGGGGCTCGAGGGGGTCACTCCCGGGGGCTCTCAGGGGTCAGTCCCGGGGTCTCGAGGGGGACACTCCCGGGGTCACTCCCGGGGTCTCAAGGCGGTCAGTCCCGGGGTCTCGAGGGGGTCAGTCCTGGGGGCTCTCAGGGGTCACTCCTGGGGGCTCTCAGGGGTCAGTCCCGGGGTCTCGAGGGGGACACTCCCGGGGTCACTCCCGGGGGTCACTCCTGGGGTCTCAAGGCGGTCAGTCCCGGGGTCTCAAGGGGGGTCACTCCCGGGGTCTCGAGGGGGTCAGTCCCGGGGTCTCGAGGGGGTCAGTCCCGGGGTCTCGAGGGGGTCAGTCCCGGGGTCTCGAGGGGGTCAGTCCTGGGGGCTCTCAGGGGGGTCAGTCCCGGGGGCTCGAGGGGGTCACTCCTGGGGGCTCTCAGGGGTCAGTCCCGGGGTCTCGAGGGGGACACTCCCGGGGTCACTCCCGGGGGTCACTCCCGGGGTCTCAAGGCGGTCAGTCCCGGGGTCTCGAGGGGGGTCACTCCCGGGGTCTCGAGGGGGTCAGTCCCGGGGTCTCGAGGGGGTCAGTCCCGGGGTCTCGAGGGGGTCAGTCCCGGAGTCTCGAGGGGGTCAGTCCTGGGGGCTCTCAGGGGGGTCAGTCCCGGGGGCTCTCAGGGGGGTCACTCCCGGGGTCTCGAGGGGGTCAGTCCCGGGGTCTCAAGGCGGTCAGTCCCGGGGTCTCGAGGCGGTCAGTCCCGGGGTCTCCGGGGGGACACTCCCGGCGACCGGCGCTCCGAAGGGACGGCCCGGGCAGTCCCCTCGCGGTGTGCCCTCCGCCCGCCGCGCTTACCCGGCTCGCCGCGGCCTCCCCGCGCTCCGGGGCCCGCGCAGGGCCGCTGTCCGCGCGCGGCCGGCACAGGGGCGGCCAGTGGCTGGCCCACGCCGCCGGGCGCAGGCGCCTCCCGCGGGCCCTGCAGGCCGCCATGCCGCGCCTCCCGGCTCGCGCGGCGGCGTCGCGACGGTGGGCGGGCCGCCTTACGGCAGGGTCGCGCAGGCGGGCGGAGCAGCCGCGTGCTTCCCGCGGAGACCGACGAGACCGGGCGGCTCCGGGGCGCGGCGGCCGCGGGGAAGGAGCGGGCGGGGCTCCCGCGTCGCCCATTGTGAGGTCAGGGCCGGCGGCCAGGCGGGAGGCCCGGCGCCGAGACGCCCGGAGCGGCCGCCGCGGCCCCTTCGCCGGCCGCCCGTCCGGAGCGAGCCGGGGGTGAGGGATGCCGCGCCCGGCCGGGGGCTGAGCGTCCACCTGGCCGCCGCACCCCCGGAGCCAAGACCGCCGCCCGGGTAAAGAGCGGGAGGGAGGAGCCGGCCGGCCGCGCGGCTGCGGGGTGCTGGGCGCGGAGGCTCAGTCCCTCCCCGGGGCCGGGGCCGGCGACGGTCCTGTTGGCGTCGGGACGCAGCGCGCGCGGCTCCCCAAGGCCCGTGGGCGCGCGGCGGGGGTGACCCCGGGGTGCTGCGGGTAGGGCAGGGCTCCCCGGGGCCCCCTCCCCGCCCCTCACTCGCTGTCGCCCCGCGATCTTGCAGCGCGTGAGAGGCGGAGCCCGGCAGAGCATGGAGATGGGGAACCAGCACCCGTCCCTCAGCCGGCTGCAGGAGATCCAGAAGGAGGTCAAGAGCGTGGAGCCGCAGGTGCTGGGCTTCAGCGGCCTGCTGGACGACAAGAACTACCGCCGGCTGGAGCGCCTGCTCACCAGACAGCTCTTCGAGATCGACTCGGTGGACACGGAGGGCAAGGGGGACCTGCAGCAGGCCAGGAAGAGGGCGGCCCAGGAGACGGAGCGGCTGCTCAAGGAGCTGGAGCAGAACGCCACGCACCCGCGCCGGCTGGAAATCCACAACATCTTCCAGGAGGCGCAGGCCCTGGCGCGGGACAAGATCGTGCCCTTCTACAGCGGGGCCGGCAGCGTGCCCGACGAGCTGGAGGAGAGCCTGCAGGACGTGGTGCTGAGGCTGACCCACGTCAAGACGGGCGGCAAGGTGTCCCTGCGCAAGGCCCGGCACCGCGCCCTCAGCAGGATCTGCGCCGTGCAGGAGATGGTGGAGGACTGCCTGCGCAAGCAGCCCTCGCTGCCGCTGTCGGAGGACGCGCACCCGTCCGTGGCCAAGGTCAACGCCGTGATGTGCACCGCCAGCAAGGCCCGCGGCACGGTGATCGCGCTCCTCATGGGCGTGTGCAGCGACGAGACGTGCCGGCACCTGTCGTGCGTGCTGTCGGGGCTGGTGGCCGACCTGGACGCCCTGGACGTGTGCGGGCACCCCGACATCAGGAACTACCGCAGGGAGGTGGTGGAGGACATCAACAAGCTGCTCAAGTACCTGGACTTGGAGGAGGAGGCCGACTCGACCCACGCCTTCGACCTGGGGCAGAACCACTCCATCCTCAAGATCGAGACGGTGCTCAAGAGAATGCGGGAGGTCAGAAACGAGGTGCTGCAGGCGCAGAGCCCGGCCGAGCTCTACCTGAGCTCCAAGACGGAGCTGCAGGGCCTGATCGGACAGCTGGACGAGGTGAGCCTGGAGAAGAACCCCTGCATCCGGGAGGCCCGGCGGAGGGCGGTCATCGAGGTGCAGACTCTCATCACCTACATCGACCTCAGGGAGGCCCTGGAGAAGAGGAAGACGCTCCAGGCCGACGAGCACCCGTCGCACGCCGCCGTCTGGAGCGTCCTGGGCAGCCTGTCGGAGATCCAGGGCGAGGTGCTGTCCTTCGACGGGAACCGGTCCGACAAGAACTACATCCGGCTGGAGGAGCTGCTCACCAAACAGCTGCTGGCCCTGGACGCCGTGGACCCGCAGGGCGAGGAGCGTTGCAAGGCCGCCCGCAAGCAGGCGGTGAAACTGGCCCAGAACATCCTCAACTACCTGGACCTCAAGTCTGACGAGTGGGAATACTAGGCTTGGGCAGTCCACGCGTGGCGCCTGCCAGCCGTGTCCAGGTGTCTGTGCAGAGCTTGTGGAGCCCAAACGTGATTTGTGCGTGCATATTTCAATCTCAGTATTTATGATTTGAGCAAATTATATTCAGTACCTCTGCTGCCTTTGATGTCACAAAAGCCGTGTCCTTGCTGCCGGCTCACGTCGCCTACCAGGCCGTCCTCTGTGTGATGTGGCATGGCTCGTGAGGACGGTGGGCCTGCATTTCTAATCAGGAAATAAGGGTAGCTTTTGTAACTTTCCAGGTGGGGTGAACAGGCACGTTTAAGAGTCTAGAAGTAGACATGACTTCACGTGCCAGCAGACTCATGAGAAAGGGGCTGAGGGCTTGGTTCAGCGCGAGTGACAGCCAGGCACAGCAGCTAGGATGCTTTGTGCTGGACGAAGCGGGGAGGCTTGTCTGCTGCCCCCGTGCCGGCGTGCAGACGGGCTTTCTGCAACCCTTCCTGGCCGACGCTCGTGCCCAGCACGGTGGGTGGGGTTTCTGTGCACGGCGTGCGGAGCTGATGACCACAGCCAGCACGTCCCTTCAGGTGGTGTGTTTTCCAAAGGCTGAACTTGACGTTTTCTCTGGAGACAAGCAAAGACAAGGGCACGTAGGCAAGGCTGAGGGGCCTCTGTAAGAAGCGGAGACACCTGTCCTGCATGGAGAGGGCCGGGGCCACTCCAGGCCCTGGTGGAGCGCTCTGGGGCTGTTCAGGGCCAGCTGACGCCTTGGCTCAGGTCCCTGACTCCTGAGGCCGGGGTCGTTGCCGGGTCACACGCACAAACACCCCCAAGTCCTGGGAGCTGTCTCCGCTGGGAAGGCGCTTTCCCGTTGGAGCGCAGGGCTTACACTAAGTACCTTACCTTTCCGACTCCCTTGGTAACTTTGTGCAGGGAAACGCCTTAAACACCTCACGGTAGCAGAGGGCACAGGTTCCCGGACCTGAAAGCGCGAGGCCCGGCCACGCCCTGGCTCTTCTTGGTGTTGCCCGGCGGGCTTCCTATGGGAACTGCCGTGGGACCTGGGCACCGGGCGGGCCCGAGGGTCGCGAGCCCCTCCCATGCAAGACCCCTGTGACTCCCGCTGACCACCTGGGGGCCCTGGGCTGCCTCAACCTGCAGAGAGCTCCTAGGATGTGATGGGAGCTGAGGCCCAGCGCTGGGGGGTCCCCTGCCCCCCTTAAGTCAGAGCTGGGCGTGGGCGTTGTGTCCTGCTTCCTTGTGGCCGATGGTCCCACCCCATAGCGGTGGCCACCCTCCTCGACCGGACGCTTCTGTACTGTCAGGGTCCCCGTTCACGCTTGCCCTGGCTCAGCCACGAGCTGACCGAGGCCATGGGTCACAGTCACCCTGCGGGCGGTCACCACGCAGGCCATCACCACGCGGGCAGTCACCCTGCGGTGGTCACCCTGCGGGCGGTCACCACGCGGGCGGTCACCCTGCGGGCAGTCACCCTGCGGGCGGTCACCACGCGGGCAGTCACCCTGCGGGCGGTCACCACGCGGGCAGTCACCCTGCGGGCGGTCACCACGCGGGCGGTCACCACGCGGGCAGTCACCCTGCGGGCGGCCCCATGTGTCCTCTAACCTGATTGACTGCACTTGCCTAGCAGTTCGCGCCTTGTGGGTATGGGGGTCTCTGAGCGAAGCTTTGGCCGCTGGCTCCGCGGAAGGATGGAGCTGGGCTGCCGGACGACGGGCCCTCGTGTGGCGTTGTGTCCGTGTGCCCGAAGTCACTCTCTATTTTGAGGTTACTTAGCAAGTATTGTGTCCTTCGTGACTAACAAAATAAATCTTGGCTTACATCTGCTGAAGAAAGGATGCGTGTCCTTTTTTTTTTTTTAATTATTTATTGCGAAGTCATAGACAGAGAGGAAGATCTTCCGGCCGATGATTCACTCCCCAAGTGACCTCAACAGCTGGAACTGAGCCCATCTGAAGCCAGGAGCCTCTTCCGGGTCTCCCACGCGGGTGCAGGGTCCCAAGGCTTTGGGCCGTCCGCGACTGCTTTCCCAGGCCACAAGCAGGGAGCTGCATGGGAAGTGGGGCTGCTGGGATTAGAACCAGCGCCCATATGGGATCCTAGTGCTTTCAAGGTGAGGACTTTTGCCGTTAGGCTATGGTGCCGGCCCGGGGTGTGTGTTCTGTCCTGGCTTTCAGTCACCTTGAGGTGCTGTGTGGGTGTGGTGGTGTCACTGCCTCCCCTCCTGGACAGCTCTGGAGGGAGCACGTGCACCTCGCACTGCCCCCAGGCTATGGCTGGTGCAGAAGCTGACCTTCTTTATAGACTGGGAAGATCTGGCATATGTTCCAGAAAGTTCTTGCCAAGCAGTGCCAGAGCTGTCAGGAGTGTGCAGCCTCCTAAGCCCCTGGCAGTGCCAAGTCCGTCTGGGAGCAGCATCCACTTCCGTTTCTAGTCTTCCAACAAGTGCTTTCGCCCACATGGTTCCCAGGTGAGCACTGACCTGGCTCTGTGAGCCTCAGGTCCAGCAGGGGAGACTGGGGTGCTGTGGTGACACCAGCAGCCACTGTGGGTGCCAGTTCCAGCCCTACCCTAGTACACCTGGAAGGCAGTGGGAGCGGGCCTGAGCGCCGGGCCCTGCCACCCAGGTGGGGTACCTGGCTTGAGCTGGCTCCCCCTCTGCCCCTGGGAGGGAAGCAGTAATTGGGGCCTCCCAGGTCTGTCTGGCCATCTCACAAATAGATCAAAGATCACTTCTTCAGCCATCGGGGAGACACCGGTTAGGAGCTGCCACTGTGCGTTCAGGGCAGGCAGCCAGGGCGCTTAGCAGGGGCACCAAGACCCCTGAGTTGGGGTGGAGGGCAGTGGCCACCCGGCTGCTTGGGAAGCACCAACCCATCTCAGCTTCCCGTGCACTTCTGAGCTGGCACTAAACCCTTCCCATGCCAAGCCCTCTGTGGGGGCATTTGAAATTCCCATGGTCGGGTGGAGGGTCCTGACTCCATCCTGGGCCGCAGGGGGACAGAAGCTGCTGTCTGGTGAACGTTGGCCTGCAGCAGGGGCCCCGGGAGGCCCAGACCCTTGGGCCTTGGATTCAAGCAATACTTTGCCACTCACAGTTGAGGGGGGTGGACATGTGGCACAGCAGTTAAGACACCACTAAGGATGCAGGCACTGCTGGGCTGGGGCACTGCCCCCACCCCCCCGGACCCCCAGGACACTGCCCCCGCCCTGGCTCGGCCCCTCGGGATGCTGCCCCACCCCCCCGGACCCCCGGGACGCTGCCCCCGGCCCAGCATCTCCTGGGCTGCAGACATTCTGCTCCCATTCCTAGCACCCGCGGCTCTGCCCTGCTCAGCCTGCCACGCTGAACACATGCACCTTGCTGCCCAGCCATGGACACTTGTCACAGTGACCGATGTGCACCTGCCCTGAGTGCACAGTGGCAGCTCCTAACCGGCGTCTCCCAATGCTCACCTGGCAGTCCCACCTCAGCTGCCCTCTGCTGACCTCTCACCTACCTGCCACCTACAGCAGGCAAGGCTGACCACCCACCCAGCCAACTGCCATGAACAGCAACAGCTGGAGCAGAGGGTGGCCTCAGCTCAGGCCCTCCTGTTGGGGTCCCTCTCCAGGGCCTGCCACACTCTGTCGTTCCCCCGACCCCATCGCCATCACAGCAGCAACAGAAGCTCCATTCTTGGCCAGGCTGGTGGCTGAAGTTTCCCGGGCAGCCGTAGGCAGGTGCAGCTCTGTCCCCTGCCCTATCAGGGGGCACCATCTCAAGGGGCAATACAGCCTTGCCTGGCTCTTGGGCAGGGAGGAGATGGCGCCACACCACTCAGGAGTAAGTGGGTGCAGGGGTCCAGCCATAGTTCCCAGGACCCTTGTCTGCAGTCTCAGGGCACTCTGGCCACAGGCGGGCACTGACTAAGGGCCACCCAGTGGTCAACCCTCACGAAGGAGTCAGGTAAGGAGCACTGGGGGTGAGGGAGCCAGGCGGCCTCAGAGGCACCACACTCTGCCCAGTGCAAGCATCGTTTGCATTGTGACACCACGGACCCTGGCAGGCAACTGACCGGGACTTGGCTGCCAACGACAGGCAGACATTTAAGCCCTGGGTTAACACTGACGGGCAAGTGTTTGGCACAGTGCTGACAGCCAAGCCAGCCTGGGTCACAGCCAGAGCCCTGGGTTTGGGATAGCCCAAGTCCTTGGGCCTCTGCCACCCACCTGGTAGACCTGGGCCCAGTTGCAGGATCGCTGGCCCAGCCACCTGCAACACTTGCCGGCATTTGGGGAGCGCACCAGTGGACTGGATATCATCCCTGCCTCTGCCGTAAGAGAAATCACGGGGTTCGGGGTGGGCCAGCATGGTGGCCTAGCGGCTAAACTCCTCACCTTGCATGCGCCAAGATCCTATATGGGCACCAGCTCCGATCCAGCAGCCCCACTTCCCATCCAGCTCCCTGCTTGTGGCCTGGGAAAGTAGTTGAGGATGGCACCCCGCGTGGGAGACCTGGAGAGGTTCTCGATTCCCGGCTTTGGATCTGCTCAGCTCCAGCTATTGCAGTCAGCTGGGAATGAATCATCGGACGGAAAATCTTCCTCTCTGTCTCTCCTCTCTGTATATCTGACTTTGCAATAAAAATAAATAAATCTTTAAAAAAATCATGTAGTTCAGCACGTGGCATGCTGGGTTAGCAGCCACCTGCAGCACCAGCGTTCTGGTGGGCACTGGTTGGGGTCCCAGCTGCTCTGCTTCCAAGCCAGCCCCCTGTGGTGCATCTGAGACAGCAGGGAGCAATGGGCCAGGAGTCTGGGTCCCTGCACCCACTCACTGGTTCTCCGAATGCTCTTGGGTTCTGGCTTCAGCCTGGCCTAGCACCAATTGTTGATGCTTTTTCGGGAATGAACCAAGCTGTACTTCTCTCTAATTGCTGCCTTTCAAATAAATCTTTTTTTTTTTTCTTTTTAGGATGCATAGCTTCACTCTGCCCCCCACATGCTCAGGCCAGGCAGGGAGGTCCGCTCCAGGAACACACCACCCACTGGGCCACATGCCTGCCCAGGGGGAGGCTGTCAAAGCCAAGTACAGCTGCTGCCCCCCACCCCCTGGTTCCCATCCTCCCAAGCAGGAGCCAACATGGTCCAAGAAGCCCCTCTTGGGTGGCTGCAGGAATGTAGCAGAAGCAAGCTAACAGGTCCTGACGGCCTGCAGCCTGCACCAGCACCTCGCTCGGCCAGGAGGCATTTGCAGACCTGCTGGCCGGGTCCATGCAGGCGTGCACGCAATGCCCCCAACACACACCCCTCACAGGCCAGCTGCGAGACAGCTAGGGCTGTGGTCCTCGGTGTCCACTGAGTGGCAGCTGTGGGTCTTGGACTCAGCCCAGGTGTGGCTGGCACTGTCCAGGAGAGCCCCTCTAGGGCTGCCCTCTTTACACTGAAACCAGGGGTGGGACTGCAGGTTTGGAGGCCTGGGCAGAAAACAGGCCAAGAATGCGTGAAGGGTGGGCCTCGGGTGACCCAGGGGAGGTAAGATATCATAGGGTTGGACGCTGTGCTCACTGCTCAGCCTGACGGCAGTGGTGGCCCCCAAACTGGCAGAATGTGACCAGGGGAGGGGAGCCAGGGGGAGGATGTGGGCCACAGGGAGGGCAGCAGCAGACAGCGGTAGTCATGGCAACAGGGCCACAAAGCAGGTGCATGCTTAGGGCTGTTGGGCTTCACGGCGTCACAGGCCTGACATGGAAATCAGTCTGACCTCATGCTGTCTGCAGACTAGCCCTAAGTGGGGTGCACAGGCCTCACTTCTCCAGGGCCCCAGGTTCCACCTTCCCAGGAAAGGGCATCCCACAGCCCTTAATCTTGACGGGCAGTCATCCTGTGACCAAATGGTCAGGATGGCCAGTGGGAAAGGGGAAGAGTGAACGCGCCAGGAATAGCAGGTGAGTTTGGGCAGGACAAACTCCACACCAAACCCTGTGTCCATCTGGGCCCCCTCCAGGTGGAGCCTGGTGCAGAGGGGACGCCCCACACAGCCCTGGCCTGCACAGCACTTGGGGGAGCTCCTTGAGCCTGGATTGCTCCCTCCACCCTGCTTCTCCGAACCCCAACGTGCCTGCCCCATCCTCCCAGCTCTGGCCACCAGATGGCAGCCATAGTTAGGTTTTGCCCAGCCCAGGAAACTGGCAGAGGACAGGGCAGGGCAGCCAGCCAACGCAGCTGGTAGGCTTTGCAGGTGGCCATAGTTACAGCGTCTGAGCCTGGCACAGGATGGTTAGCATGGAGCCGACCCACTTAGCAGCTTCTAACCTGTTCCCGTGGGTCCCTCACTCAGCCATGGACTCAGGCCCTGGCCCTGCTGGGCTGACCCTCTGAGAGCCATCAGCTTGGCAGGGGCCTGGAGGCAGGGCCGTCCTTCCCCAAGGAGTCTGTGCACAATAGGGTCCCCACTGGGCCCTGGGGTCTGCCTCCTGAGAGAGCCGAGCTCACTTCCTCCGCATAGCCCAAGCCCGGTGCTGCCTCTTACGGCGGGCCCTGGAGGAGCCCTGTGCGCCAGCCTTCAGCAGGTTGGTGCCCTGCCTCTGCAGACACCCTGGGCACATGGCAATCCCTGCTGCCCAGGCAGCCTTTCCCCAGAGTGCCTGCCTCTGGAGGCAGGCACAAACAGCCCAGTCCAGGAGTGGGCATTTGCAGCAACTAGGACCCTGCCTGGGATGCCCACCTGTGTGTCAGCACACTTGGCTTCCAACTCCAGCTCCCTGTTAGCATACACCCTCATGGGGCTGGAGGCCACTGGCTGGGTCTGCATG